TCTAAGATGCATCAGTTGGTCCCAACCACTTGGAGTAAAGCAGAACGTGGAACACCAAAGACACAAGGAAAGTATTAGCGCAAGAGACAGAAAGGGCCACATAAACCAGAGACTTCATCAGCCTGAGACCAGAAGAACTGGATGGTGCCCAGCTACCACCAATGATCACCCTGACAGGGAACACAGCAGAGAGTCCTGGATGGAGCAGGAGAAAGATGGGGTGTAGAACTCAAATTCTAGTAAGAAGACCAGACTTAATGGTCTGACTGAGGCTGGAGGAACCCTGGAAAGCACGGCCCCCAGATTCTCTATCAGCCCAGAACTGAATTTCCGTAGCCAACTTTTCAGACAGGGATTGGACTGGACTGTTGGACATATAGCGATACTCGTGAGGAGTTTGCCTCTTAGCTCAAGTACATACAAGAGACTAAATGGGCAGCTTCTGTCTGCAGGTGAGATGGGAAGGCAGAGAGGCTTAGGAGCTGGTTTAATGGACATAGGGAATCAGGGGTGGAAAGGAGGAGTGTGCTGTTACAGTATGGGGAGAGCAATTAGGGTCACATAACAATGTATGTATCAATTTTTGTATGGGAAAAAAATGCTATCGATATAAAAACAGAAATGAAAATCCATATATACGTGCATATATTTCCTTATCTTTATATTAGCATACATTAAAGTAGTGGCAATGTGCATGTAAATTTAATACTGGTTATTCGGTGGTAGTATTGAGAGAGGACAAAGAGTTTATTCATTTTTTTTTTATACTCCTCTATTTAGCTTAATTTGGTATCAAAGAGCATGTTAATTTTTGTAACTTCCAAAATTTAAAAAAAATAAGGGAAATAAAAATGCAGCCCTGAATCTTCCTGTGGTTGGACAACAATTTTCTTTAGGTTTTAATCAGCAAGATGTGCTTTAAAATCACACATGCAGGGGTCCTGTACCATCCCTTTTTTGGAGAGAAGGAGCATGAACTGAGGACATCCTGGGGGAAGGAGGGAGGAGTAGAAGTGGTGGTATGACCAAGGCCTCTGGGTTAGGCAGAGCTGCATTTGAATCCCAGCTCTGCCACCTACTGGGCTATGGGGCCTGGGGCCAGTTACCTAACTGCCTCAGTTTCCTTGTCTTTATAATGAGAGTAATTAGACGACCTCTTTCGTTGGGTTATTGTGGGAATGAAAAATGAGATCATGCATTCAAAATGCTTAGCACAGCAGCTGGTTCAGTAACACTTAGCATAGTATTCAATAAATGACAACCATTATTATTATTTACAGTAGGCATTTCCCAATAGTTTGAGGAGTAGGAAATGGTGGCTATAAAAATCTAGAGGAGGGGACGGGCACCTCAACTTTGCTAGGCCTACCATGCATCCCAACACATAGGTTGATGTACCACCAACCTAAAAATTGATTTTATTCTTGGTGGTATTATACCCAGCTAGATTACATTTCCCAGCCTCCCTTGCAGCTAGGGGCAGTGGAAGTCTTGGGTGGAACTTTACTTTGGAGAGATGCTCCTTTACTCTTATTTTTCTTATTTTCCCTCTAGCTTCCTGCTGTCTGGATCTTACCGTTCTGATGGCTGGATCTCCTATCAGCAACCTTGGACTATGTAGTAACCTTGAGAAAGGAAGCCACGCCCTAAGATGGTAGAGCAGAAACACAGAAGCCTGAGTCCCTGATGACCCTCAAATTGCCATGCCAGCCCCAGCTCCCCTTCCTCTGCACTGCTTTTATGGGAGAGAGAACCTTTATCTTGTTTAAACTCTTTTTCTGAGTTTTCTGTAATAAACTCAGCCCTAAGTGATAGAGTTCTCAGAGAACAACTAACCTAAAAAGCAAAAGCTCACGCCTAGAGAGCCATGAGGTATGTGACCTGGGAGGGGATGGCTGCATTTTCCTGGGGGAGGCAAAAGGTGAGACTTTGCCTGGCACTTACTCGTCGCCAATGTAGAGCTGAGGCCAGACCTCGTTGACGTGGGTGTACTGGGGACTGCCCTTCCAGAAAAGTCGCTCCAGCTCGAAGGCTTCAGGGGTACAGTAGTCCTCCGCCTCCCCCTCCTCCTCCTTCAGCAACAGCCTCTTCGCAGACGGGTAGGCATTCTTGAGGCTTGTCTTTGGTTCTCTGGATATCATTTTGGAGCCAAGGGATTTTCTTTCCTTTCTGCAGTTGGTCATGAGAGAGGGTGAGGATTGTGGTTAGCAGAGGACACAAAGGTGGGAATAAGCTGGTCTTAAAATTTGGAAAGTGTTTCTCTGGCCTGCTGTGCTCCTGCTTTCTCTTCCTAAGCCACATAGGGAGGCCGTCATGACAGTTAAACTTCCCAACATTCCAGTCTCCTCCAGAGCAAGAGGGCGGGAGGAGGTGGGGGCCTCTGTGGCAGGCCGGGGTGGAGTCTCAGCAGACCCAAACGGGCTTCGGGCCTAAGAATCTTTGAAGGCAGCCAGTCCTTTGCCACCTATCTTTTAGATTTTACCCCTTCTTTGACTCTACGTTTTCCTTTATCTGACTGTAATCTGCTAGTTTAGGCCATTTTGAATGCAAATAGGAAGGCCCAGAAGGTTCCTAGCATTCCAGGCCTGTGGCACAATGAACATCTGCAGGAAGCAACCAGCAAAAGGGCGCGCATGTCTAAATCCAGGGTCTGGGTGTGAGCAGCCACACACGCCAGCAGGACTTCGAAGCCTTAGGGCAGAAGGAAACTGCGTGTTAGGACAGTTGAAGTCAGTGTTCGTGGCTCTCACACCTGGAGGCTGGCAATTGTGTTAATTCGAGCTAGGAAGCTGTGTCTGCAGACTGACATGGGTGTTTGGAGAGCTTGTCAGGCTCTGTAAGTGGGGTGCGGGTGGAGAGTTTCTATTGTCCGCAAAGAAATGAATCTGCTGGTGGAATTAGGTGGCGTCTGTTCCCTGAGCTGCGTAAGTATACACTTACAGTCGTACAGTCTGGGAAGGGAAGTTGTACTCTGAGACTGGAGGGAAGGAGTAAAGGGTGGGATGACTGAGAGGCTTGGAGGTGAGTGATGGGGATGGGGGGACGTTATTTATTTATTTAATACATACTTATAATGCATTTATTTTGCACCAGGCACTGTTCCAAGTGCTCACAATTATTAGCTCATCTAATCTTTTTAACAGTCTATCAGGTAGGCACAAGGAAAATCATATACATCGAGGCTGTTCATAACACATGGCCTTTGTCTTCTGAGAAAAAAATAATGGCTTAGAGCAAAGGAGATGAAGGATTCACTGTGAGAAGGGGAAGCTGTAAATAAGGGTTGGTAGCTTCAAAGACCACTAGAACCATGTAAAAATGACTCAGACTAGGACTTGAAGAGGCTCCCACTTGTCAAAAATGGGACAATTTGAACATTAACAGTAAAAACTGCAGCGGATGGAAACACACCAAACATTTAAATCATAATGATACTTAAGCAAAACAAAACCATTATATGCTATAGGAGGATGCTAGGAAACAAACTCATTATTTTGAAGACTGATCAATAAAGTAAAAGAATCTAGCATTTATTGTTCCTTCCCTATGCAAACTGTACTTCTGGGTAGACAAGAGGAAGTTTCTCTTTTATAGAAGAATCCCAGAGAATAAATACAGAAGGAAGGAATCTCCATTGCACAATGCCTGATGAACTAATAGATCTAGGCATTGAGCACTGACTGCTAACAACATAGGAAGAGATGATCAGACATTTTGTGCCTTCTGATGGAAGAGCACACCACCACCACAAAAGTAGTTTTACCAAAGAAAAACCTGAATCTTATCAGTCTTCTTATAAGAACCAATTGATAGGAAATTCAGAGGACAGAGTATCATTGTAAATTATACCACAGGGCCTTATCTTTTAGAAAGAAATACTGAAATATTCACAGATTAAGCTAGGATTTGCTTCAAATATAATAGTGTTGGAAAAAAATAATATTGTTTGAGGAGGATATAGTTGGAGATGTAAATGAGACAGGATGATTGTTGGGATTGAGTAATGGTTACAAGGTAGTTACTGTTTCTCTTCGTGTGTGTTTGACATTATCTATATAAAAATTGTAAAAAGGAGAGGAAAGAACTAAACTACTCTGGGGAATCTGATTCTCCCAAGTCCATAGCAGACGAATTAAAGGATTACTAGTGCCTTGGAGGAGTCCTGGTGGCTTAGTGATTAAGAGCTCGGCTGCTAACCAAAAGGTTGGCAGTTGGAATCCACCAGCCGCTCCTTGGAAACTCTGTGGGGCAATTCTGCTCTGTCCTATAGAATGGCTATGAGTTGGAATCGACTCGGCGGCAACGGGTTTGCTTTTTTTGGTTTTTTTAGTGCCATGGAAGAAGGGCCTGGCAATCTACTTCTGAAAAATTAGCCACTGAAGACCCTGTAGAGCACAGTTTTACTCTGACATAACATGGGGTTGCCATGAGTCAGGTCGACTTGACAGCAACTGGTTTGGTTTTGGTTAAGTAGCAGCATGCCTGTGTGTGGATTGTGAGGAACGAGGATCATAACTTTCTCCTGCACCATCTGGCTTCCTGGAGTAGGAGGTGGGGGCAATGGGCAGCAGAGGTGATCCTTCTGCAGAGTCTCTCAGAGTGTGATCTAAAGAACACCTCCATCAGAATCTCCTGGGCACTTGTTACAAATACAAATTCCCAGGCTATGCACTGGACCCTGTGAATCACTCTCTGAGATAGGGCCTAGAACTCTGTATTTTAACAAGCTCCCAAGTGAGGCTGATGCTCACTAAAGCTTGATAATAATTGCCTAAGAGCATGGCTAAAGGGTCAAGAAGGTTTTGAGGCTAAGAGGTTTTTCAGTCAGGATGCCTTCAGTCTTCTCATTGGAGTGGGAGCCAGATCTTCAGTCAGGACTGGGAGGGCAGGAGAACCTTGCTCCAGGGGCTCCTTGAAGATGAGGCCTTGGTGGTGTATCTCCCTGTAGCCTCATGTCTGGCATATAGTAGGTGTTCAGAAAACATCTGTTGAATGAGGGCGTGGTTTAGTGAATGAATGGAGTGAGTGAATGAATGACTTAGGGAATGACTGAGGGGGTGAATGAATGATAAAGGATGGTGAGGCCTTTGCTGGAGACTCAACAAGAGCCACTGGGGCAGGACCAAGCCTCTGGGCTAATGGGATGGGGTGCGGTGAGGATGAGGGAGGTGCAGAATGCAGATTGAACACCCTGTAAGGGTGGTTGTTCAGGCCTGAACTTGAGTCTGGGGCCTGCTACTGGTATTTCCAGTCAAGAAGGGAGGAGTTATTTCCAGGGATGGTCAGAAACCTCCGGTGCAGGAACCAACACAGACCCATCAGTCTCCTTAGATTATCATCATAGTTCTTGCTTCAGGCCCCACAAGGCTGTGGGCCTTCACTTTGAGAGGCCTGAAGCTCAACCTGCCATGGCACGAACTGTTCTTGTTCCAAACTGAGTAGAAACTGGGCACCACAGATCTGAATATGGTGGCTTAGGTAATTTTGAACCTTGTCTGCCACCAAAGGAGGCTTCAGAAGAGGCAATTTTAGGGAGACACTGGAGTAAATTCTATCCTGAAACCTCTGCCTGCCTCCTTTGATCACTGAAGCTGACCTCACCCTCTTCATACTGTGGAGGGAACACCCCTTCCCCTCTCTGCGCTGAAAGCCTCGGCTGGATTTCCAGACAGAAGAGGAAGTGATGTGGTCTACCCAGAGCAGCTTGGCACGCAGAGGAAGCTCTGGGATCTATTATCCTCCAGCGAGCGGATTTGATGGGGGAAGAGAACAAAGCTCAGAGCCGTCCAGAAACCACAGACCTGTAATCTTTCCAAATCCTGAAGGAGAGTTGTGTGCATCCCTCTCTGCATGGCTCCCAGATCTCTGCTTCTCAGAGAGGCCAGAAGCGTCTGTTTCCCAGATCACAGCCAAAATAGAAGGGGAAGACAAATCTGTTCTGTTTGGTTTCCATAGATTCGACCCAGAGATTAACTGCCAAGGTCTCAATGACACACACAATATCAATCACAGGCTAAATGTCATAATGAGAGCTGGGCAGGTTGTCAAGAGAGGCCTCCAGGTTCCTGCTACAGCTTCATAGTTAAAGATTTGGTCCCAGGAAACCAAATGCCGACTCTGAAGTCTACTTGGCCTGTGTGCTGCATCAGCCTATCTCCTCAAAGGGTGACAAAGTTAGGCTCCTTCATGGAGGAGGGAAGTGGGTTGGGTGTTACAAAACAAAACAAAGAAACAAACACCTGACTATTGGCCTAAAGCAGGAGACATTAGGGAGAAGTGGGGACTGTGGCACGCTACAAAGCAAATGTCCCATCTGAAGAAGGCAGCAGCTTGCCATTTCATGTGGAAAGGCAAGCCCAGTTTACTAGATTTTCTGATGTTTTTATGAGAAACCAGCAAGCGAAATTTTTTCTGAGAAATCTACTGATTTTTAAATGTGGGCAGTGGTAGCAGATGCAGTCTTTGCCCTGTCTCATTTCTTGGCTCACCCTGGAGATTACCAGCAGCATAAGTGGACAGTTACATTATACACAAAAGGCTTCCTACCTCAAGCATCTGTGTTTCCCTGCTTGAGAGCGTTTTCTGGTCTTTGCAGAGAGTGGGCCTGAGGTGCCTGGAGTTAACACCCACAAGATGTATCAACCAGTGAGGGACAGGAGTTGGTGGATAAACACCTCAGCTTCCTCAGCCTTGAGTGGACATTTTGAGATATGCTCTACACTGTGTCAGAGGTTCCCCCGTGACTTAGAGCCCCAGTTGCCCATAGTGGAAGCCTACTCACTCATGCATCTTCCCTGGCTTTCCTTCCTCCTTGACTCATACTTCTCCACTCCAAACTGTGCTTCCCACATTAATCTCACAAACACACAACTTGCACCCAAATTTTGGTCTCAGGGACTGCTTTTGAACTCAAACTAAGATATAGCTCATTTAAAGATGCTGTGGTGTTGTGGATTGAACTGTGTCTCCCAAAAAGATATGTTGAAGTCCTATCCTAGTACTGGTGATCATGACCTTGTGTGGAAAAAGGGCCTTTGAAGATGTCATCAGTTAAATTAAAATTAGGTCATACTTAAGTAGGATGGGCCCTAAGCCAATCTGAGTGGTGTCATAAAAAAGGACAGGCACAGAGAGACAGATGGAGGAAGGACGGTGTTATGGATTTGTGTCCCCCAAAATATGTGTTGTAAATCCTAACTTCCAT